CTAGGGATTGAAAAAGAAATGTGTTATTATTGTTCATGCTTTTCCTGAGTTCCAACTCTGAGAACACAAGTGAAAATGAGTTAACAATGCCATTGCTCTGTTGTGGGGATGATGTATTTCAAAACCTGGACTCCTTCCACAATATTATTAAAGTTCTTTGAAGCGTTGCTGCTAAGAAAAAAAATATCAAAAGAACTCATGTTATTTATTGTTTCTCAAATCCACTGCTATTTCAGGTTGTGCCTAAGCTAACCAGTTGGTTTTATCTTGGAAGCCATTGGCACAGCAGAGCACTATCACATGTGTATATAAGAGATAATAGTAGACCCAGGTAGTAAAAACTTGATTCCAAACTTCAGTGACTCTGAAAAGGAGACTCAGGATTTTAAAACGAGAGTCTATAAAGAAAAGAGCAGATCCCCAAGTCATATTTTAGGGAGATGTTATACCAGCAGGTTTCATATTTCTTTAAAATTATTAAACCTACTGATGTCCAGTACCTTCTTTTCTAAAGCCATAAATGAGGAGAAGAATGGATAGGAAGAAGGTTACAAGTGTGAAGAACAAAAGTAATAATCATGGCTTACACTGAAGCTGAAGATAGAAAAATTTTACATGGATTGTCATTTAATCCTTACAAAAAAGTGTTTGAGGTAGGCAGCCTAAGCTGTCAGAGAATTACTTTAAGTCGGTCCTGATAAGAGGATGACTCTTCATGGTTGAAAAGTCAGATTCCCCTCTGCTTCTCTTTGAAATTGCCTGAATTCATTGAATCAAAGGGATGATAGCAACTTTCATGACCCATGGACTTCCTATAAATTTACACATGTTAAAGATGACTTAATAAGGAGTATAAATACTAATTACTCATCTGGGTTTCTTAATTTCCAGATGAATTAACCTGAGGCTCAGATTACAGGGATTTACTAAAATCACGGGTCTGAGACGCCTCTCGCCCAGGCTACTTCCACTTTCCCACACACTATTACCTTATAATGTGGAGAAGGAAGCCATGGGCCATTCGTCAAGTTTCTAACAGCCCTCTTTACACACATGGCCCCTTTCATACAAAGAAGCTTTGGAATCTGTGTCAATACATTAGATTCACAGCACTGGATGTAATGCCCCAAGCTGCACATTGTACTACAAGAAATTTCCTCTAAAAATCACCACAATGCCTCCAAAGACTGATGTGAAAAACTTCCAAATTCTCCAAATAGTTAGATTTGAATGACCTAAAGATGCATGCACAAATTAAAAGAGATTCATAATTCACCATTAATTCCCAATACTGAATCTGTTCTTTTTTTAAATAATGAACTAATTCATTCATATTTAATGCCTGACATCTGATAAAGAAACGTGATGACAAGAAGGTGAGCTTTAAGGAAAGATAAAAACACAGAAATGCCACATGGGCAGAGAAGAAAAGAGAGAGAGGAGACTATGTAAGGCATAGGTGATCACTTAGAAGATGCAGAATGAGCCAAATAGAGGGACTCCAAGTTGGATCAATCCACCTGGAAGAGTCCCTCCTGACCTCTAAAGTCTGCTGAATTGAAGCCTGCCACTGATGACTGCATATGATGTCTCTCGGTGAAATTCCCCCTTCTGGTCTCCATAACTCATTACTGCACAATCACGATGCAAGTTCTCTGGAACTAGGATGATGGCTTTCTGATCCATTAGTATTTACCAAACTGCTCACAAGCATGTTCTCCCTCTAATCACATGGTTAACCAGTGACTGATAACACAAAATGACAAAGATCCTGTTTAGCAGAAGCATTACAATTCATTCCGCAAATGATTTACTGTCATTCAGCTACACAATCAGCTCTTGGTTTTCGTTTCTTGGGTATCTCGTGTTTTATTTTGTTTTTTTTTTTGGATGGCAGGTATTAAGTGCACAGCCAAAACAGTTAAATTATCATGAAAGCCTTCACCGTTGGACCAAGGAATATCCTAAATTATTCTTGGGGTGCCTGGGTGGCTCAGTCGGTTGAGCATCTGATTTCGGCTCAGGTCATGATCTCACGGCTTGTGAGTTAAAGCCCCACATCACGCTCTGTGCTGACAGCTCAGAGCCTGGGGCCTGCTTTGGATTCTGTGTCTCCCTCTCTCACTCTGCCCCTACCTGGCTCATGGTCTCTCTCTCAAGGATATATAAAACATTAAAAAACAATTTTAATAAGTAAAAAAGAAATGAAACTAGCACTTTCTTATCAAAGCCCCATAAAAAATTAGAAACTTTAGACAACATGGAGTTATTCATTGATAAGAACAGCTATTATGGGGAAAATAATGAATAATAAGGTCAAATTTATCAAGAGAATCCTAATTTTTAACCTTGGTTTTCTTTCCTCTTTCCATGTGTTAAGAAAATACAAACTTGGGATTTGGAAACATAGTAATTCAAAAATGCTATTCCATGGGGCGCCTGGGTGGCGCAGTCGGTTGAGCGTCCGACTTCAGCCAGGTCACGATCCCGTGGTCCGTGAGTTTGAGCCCCGCGTCGGGCTCTGGGCTGATGGCTCAGAGCCTGGAGCCTGTTTCCGATTCTGTGTCTCCCTCTCTCTTTGCCCCTCCCCCGTTCATGCTCTGTCTCTCTCTGTCCCAAAAAATAAATAAACGTTGAAAAAAAAATAAAAAAAAATGCTATTCCTCTGGTTAAGACTCCATGACATCATGTTACTGACCACAGTTCCAACTGGGGCCAAGGAGAACTTCCCAAATGACCCCTTCTGGCAAACCCAGGTGAATAAGCAAAAATATAAGCCTAAGGATGAGAGGATTGCTGTCCTATTCTAAGAAAAAATCCTGCCCTATTCCTTTATTTTTAAGCTGTCACCATGTTTAAGGTACAATGGCATCTTCTCAATGAGCGCATTTTCCTGTTACTGGAATTGGCAGGGGGCCTTGACCTGTGAGTCGTCATTTCATTATGTCTATTCCTCACCATGGTACGCAAATGAAATAAATACAAGCCAGATGAAATAGAGGGGGGAAATCTGTACCAATAACTATAAATTGAATTAATTTTTCTCAAATCTACAAAATATATGAAGCAATTAACATTGGTAATAACATATTCTACTGCAGGCACATTTTCCAAAATATTAACTTCAATTTTAAAGGCCAACACTGCTCACACCCTTCTAGCCAAACACTTCACTTCTGTAAAACAGAACTGACAGTTTTAATATTCTCTAAATTAAAAGGACAGAATAATTTCAAATTTAAATCACCTACAAATACGGACAAAAACATACACTAAACAACTTCATTCTTTTGCAACAAGCTTCAAGAAGGGGTAGCAATCACTGAACATATAAATACATATAATATATATGTGAAAAATATTATTTAAAACACCATGTGTAATCAAACAGAAATAATAACAATTCATTCAGACTAAAATATCCAAGCATGCCAAGTTGGAATTTTCAAGTTTATCCTTAGAAGCTTTCGAATCACTGAATCTAAATGATGAAAACAGCGCTTGTATGAGTTTCCTAAATCATGGGATCCAGTTATCCTGAATAAATGGGCATCGTTCCCTATGTCCCAAGTGTTTTGCTTAAAATGTTTCCATTGAATTTCAAAATTATAAAAAGCAGTTCTAAAACGAATGCTACAGAAAATCCTCAAAAATGTCTTCGGCTCTGCTTTCAGGGGGCTAGTCTCTCATTTATTTAATCATGGCAAGCATGTCAGAATACGTGAGTACTCATTCACTGAGTTTTTAATTGTCTCTACAACTCATCTTTCCTTTAGCCCACAGGAGCCTGTTCATTTCCAAAAGTCAACAGCTTTCCCTAAAATGCTTGTGAACAAGATGAATCACCTAGAAGAAGTTCACTTTTTTTAAAGATTTTTTTAACATTTTATTTATTTTTGAGAGAGAGAGAGAGAGAGACAGAGCATGAGCAGGGGAGGGCAAAGAGTGAGGGGGGACACAGAATCTGAAGCAGGCTCAGACTCTGAGCTGTCAGCACAGAGCCCAATGCAGGTCTTGAACCCACGGACTGCGAGATCATGACCTGAGCTGAAGTCAGATGCTTAACTGACTGAGCCACCCAGGCGCCCCATACTTTCCTTGTCACAAAATACCAAAAAGCTCTACTGGAAGTTGATACACACAAAGGTCCACTGCAGAAGAATATCATTTATATCATTTATTTTTGTGTTTAAAACAATAATGACTAACTTTTCTTCACACTTCTATTTTAATGTTGACTTCCTCTAAAAAAAAAAAAAAAAAAAGCTTTACCCGAGGGCACATATTTGTGTCAACTATTTAAGATTCTTCTTGTATCTTTTCATTTCTTAATAACCCAGATTTCCCAAACAGGGATTCCAAGAAATTAATAACAATTCCTAGTGTTGATGCTGTTCTCCAAGCAGTGAGCCTGTTCTAAAGGAATGAGTCTCTGTGTCAATGCTACAATCTATTGAGGAAAGCACTCTTGAGGTAGCCACTTAATTTCCAACTCTTAGAAAATCCATTATTCTGCATACTGAGACAAAAATAGGATGCAACCAAGACGTTCCTAAATTATGACATTTAGAACAGAGCATATTCAAAGTGGAGCTAGCTTTCCACCCATAGTTATTTAAGGAGAAGGTGAGCAGGCCCCACACTGTTGGAATCCACCTTTCCATTTCTCTCCTGTTTGCCTTCAGTTGGTAGAAATATTCACGGCTTTACAGGATCAGGTTCTTGGTGACTCCTATCATTTTTGTAATTACTGTGGCTGGTATTAATAAGTGTCTTCTTTTTATATGCTGAAATAAATTAATGAAAGAGGCAGACACTATGCAAAATGGCTGGGAATAAGGCCAAATCCTTTTCCATACATCCAGGGACCAGTAATTTTCTAAATGGCACTTTAAGCTCTCTCGCCTAAATAATTACAAGTACCGCCGGCATGTAATTTACAGAAATAATTATGCACTCTTCCAGTCCCCATCACCCATCTCAAGCCCATGGCCACTCACCTTGTCTTTATTTTCAGTGCCAGAAGCCTCAGGCTTGGTCCTGATCACAAACGGGGTGGACAGTCGCAACAGGACCCTCTCAAAGGCGGCACTGACCTTTGGAGAAACGATCTCGAAGCAGTCCTCAAACCTGAGCACTTTGTGGGTGTCGCAACGCAGCTGCTTCCGCAGGCCTTCCCCCAGCTGCAGGACGGACATGTGGGCGTCGAACATCAAGTGGAAAGGGAAGGCCCTGCAGAAGGTGCTGATGCTGATTCTGAGGTCCGCAGGGACTCGGGAGGCTCCCCGGGGAAGGTTCTTCATGGCATCAGTATTGTCACATTCTTTGATGAGGAAGGTAAGACAGCTACAGTTGCCTGGGTTCGAACCATCGGAGCACAGTTTCTCATTGGCCACCTGCTCCACGCTCACGTCCAGCCGGTAGATCTTCTTTCCTGCAGCCTTGATCATGCCCAGCATTGCAAAGCCCACAACGTGGTGAGGACGGAAGTAGTGAAGCAGAAGGGCACCCTCGGGGAGCTCCTTGCACAGGAACGATGGGGACTCCAGCGTGGCCTGTTTCCCAAAGGAAGTTCTGATGTGTTCCAACAAAGCATCAAAGCCATTAAAAAAGTCCTGCAAAGTGCCACCTACAGCTCGAAGGACTCTCTCATTCTCGTCAAAGCATATATTAAAGAACTCCTCACCAAATCTTTCTTGAAGTTCCTCAAACTTCAAACCTAGAGGTAAACGGGAAGCAAATGTTAGTCAAGTGCAATAAAATAATCGAATTTATAGCTTTTTTTTTAATGCTCATCAAATGAGACAACTAGGCAGTGAAGCTGGAGAGGTATTTCCCTTGGGCCCACAGATTCCCAGAGAGATTAATTCATTTTGAATTAGAGAAAGAAAATTTCAATCCATCTTCTGGGGGCTTCTAAGATGTTGATGGGCATAAGCTTCCTTTATGTTTGTTTGCTTTTGTTTTTAAGTAGACTTTATTTTTTAGAGCAGTTTGAGATTCACAGCAAAAGTGAGCACAAAGTACAGATATTTTCCATAGAACCCTCTTTCCACAAACGTACAACCTCCCCACCCCACCCCACCCCACACATACAATCAGACATGCACTACAGTGGTGCATCTGTTACAATCAATGAACTATAATGACACAACACCATCACTCAGTCGTTAGTTTACAGTAGGGTTCACTCTTGGTGTTGTATGTCTTTGGGCTTGGACAAATGTGTAGGGATATGTGTCCACCATTACAACATCACACAGAGTAGTTTTGCTGCTCTAGAAATCCTCTGTGCTCTGCCTGTTCATGCCTCCCCCCTTACCTCAACCCCCTGTAGCACAAACTTTCTAAATGCTGCTAATTTAGCTGCAACAGTTTGTTTTCCATTTGCTATAATTACCACAAACAAGATCTTTTTCTTAATGGTTTCCCTCATAGGTAAAGAAGCTTTTCAGAAGCAGCTATCAGCTTGTTTCTCTGTTGTGCCCATCCACTATTACTATTTGACTTATCAAAATTCTTATGTTAAGCAGGAAATGTCAACCAGAGAGGGAATTTCTCGTACTTGAGCAGAGAAAGGTAATGGATTACCTAGTGTGAACAGAAGGAATGAAGTGAGACACTACGGAGAGAGGGACAAAACAAGAAACTAAAAATGGCAGAATGGTGGATGGATTTGCATTCTTTCACCCACAAAACTGAAAGTAACCAAGAGTCTGTAATCTCAAAAGAAAGAGTTAAAAGTCTTTGTCTTCCCAGTTCACATTCACTCCCACCTGCCATGGCAAGAGGAACTCTATCTTATAATAATGGAGGTATAATGAATGGTAAACACACACACACACACACACACACACACACACACAATGCAATGCACTATGTAGAAATTAGAACCAGTCACATGTGATCTAGTTAGATCCATCCTTAAGGATGATCTGAGGGAAAGTATGGAGGGAATTTACGGTCCATAGAGGAAGGATACAACACCCGTATATGACTGAGTGTGTACACTAAAGGAAACTTCTATACAGAGTCAGTCTGTTGCTTCTCCTTTGACTTTGGCTGAAATCAACATATGTAAGTTCATATATTCATATTTTCTTGCCCCGTCTACTCCATCTCATAAGGAGGTCCTGAAGATAAGGCCAGACTGGGAAAAAAACAGAAGGCCACTCTGCCAGTGTCCTGTCCAAGAGCAGAGCCATCTGGGCTGTCTATGGCTTGGTTTGCTATCTAGTCCTACCTTTATTATTCCCTAAGAGTTCTCCCCATGCAGAAATCAGGGAACAAAGCAGAGTCAACACTACTATTTGAAAAACACAGTCAAAAGACATCAAATATTTTTTGAGAGAGTATTAGAGAGTATAAACTTTGTGACAGCCAAGTGAAGTAGTCAGTTGGACAAAAAAAGTGAAATGAACATGAAAATCAACGTGAAATGACAAAAAAGTAGAAAACCTAAGAGAAAAAGAGTCCTTTTATTAAGAAGAATTTCATATTAATTTTACTTTCATAGTTTTGACATTCAAGTCAAGCTGACAAAGTCACCTATCAAGATAAAAACATGAGCGCACATCTTACATGGTCATGGTACAAGATTGCCCTTCAATGTAGGCTGCAATCACGAACAGTAAGACCAGCTCAACTGATGATAATAACATTTATCTGTCCAGTTCTCCAGTGTGGAAGAAAAAAAAGTGGACGACACTCACTGCAATTTGGCTCCTGTCCCAATGGCTCCACTGAAACTACTTTTCCTATTGCTTAAAGTAATACATACTGTTTCATCCCTACCTTAGTTAACCTGGTTTGTTGTTTCTCTTTTAATTTGACTGTACTCATCATCTCATCCTCCTAAATCTCCCTTCTCTTGGCTTCTAAAAATATACCATTGGTTTGATTACTGACTGTCTGAAGACTCGTTCCCTAAAATGTCTTCCTACACCAAATCTCTGTATCACCATCGATATATAACTAAAAAGTCCTAATACAAATTAAATGTATATCCCTTCTTGGTTGCTATTAAATTTTTCAATTACAACATTCTAACTAAAACTAAATTCAAGGGGCGCCTGGGTGGCGCAGTCGGTTAAGCGTCCGACATCAGCCAGGTCACGATCTCGCGGTCCGTGGGTTCGAGCCCCACGTCAGGCTCTGGGCTGATGGCTCGGAGCCTGGAGCCTGTTTCCGATTCTGTGTCTCCCTCTCTCTCTGCCCCTCCCCTGTTCATGCTCTGTCTCTCTCTGTCCCAAAAATAAATAAACATTGAAAAAAAAATTTTTTTTTAAAAATTAAAAAAAAAACAAACTAAATTCAAAATAAATAAAAATTCCTATAAGCTGATTATACTCCCTGAACAACAAAATTCCATGGGTCACTAAAACATCCCATGAATTGCTTCTATATTTTGAAGAGTTCTATCTTAAAAGGACTCAGAGTCTTTATGCACAAAAAAGAAAAAAAGAATTTCTTCTAACTTGCTTTTTTTTATAACATTGAAAACGCCCTCAGAGTTATTAAGAACAGAGATTAAACATAATATAGTAAGCTTATGTTCTATTTTCATCGCCAGAATCCCAAAAAATCATCCAGAAAATAACAAGTAAATTCACCAGGAGCACAAAATAAAAACTACTCTGTGAGTACAGCATTCTATCTGCTAGGAATCCCTGCTATCTTACAAAGCACTTCTCTACCTGAGGGTACAAGGGCTGTTAATTCTCAAATGAAGACACCGAGGCCTGCCCGGACACTAGAGTCACTTGTACCAATAAAGAAAAGCTAGAATATTTCTACTATCACACCCAAATACTATACATGGTAATTCTATAAAATCACAGTACTCAATTAACTAATTAAGATTTCGGGGGCACCTGGGTAGCACAGTCAGTTAAACGTTCAACTCCTGATTCTGGTTCAGGTCATGGTCTTATGGTTTGTGGGCTCCAGTCCCACATCAGGCTCTGTGATGGCAGCACAGGGCCTGCTTAGGATTCTCTCTCTCTCATTCTCACTCTCTCTCTCTGCCCCTCCCCTCCATGTCAGTCTCTCTGTCTCTCTCTAAATAAACATTAAAAAAAAAAAAGACTTTTGTTTTCACAATTATTAAACTTTACAGGATCATAAAAGAAGTTCTTCAAGTTGGAAACATGTAAAACTAGGGAAAGATCACTGTAACTTTTACAAATAGTTCCATTTTAAACATTTTTTTTCAACGTTTATTTATTTTCGGGACAGAGAGAGACAGAGCATGAATGGGGGAGGGGCAGAGAGAGAGGGAGACACAGAATCAGAAACAGGCTCCAGGCTCCGAGCCATCAGCCCAGAGCCCGATGCGGGGCTCGGACCCACGGACCGCGAGATCGTGACCTGGCTGAAGTCGGACGCTTAACAGACTGCGCAACCCAGGCGCCCCCCCCTTTTTTTTTAAACATTTTTTTTAATAGTTCCATTTTAAACCTTATCTCAAAATTCAGAAAGCACAGAGAAAGTAGTGCAGCTCAGATAAGTGGTACAGTTCTCACTTCCAATATCCCACTTACGAGGATGCAAACCCCCTACTTACAGCAAATCACATAAAACATACAGACCATGCTCATGTGTTCATGTCAGAAGATGCTAGGACAGCTTGACCTTTGGGTCTATAAGAATATGTTCCTCTAGAGGCAAAACTTACAATAAATGTGCTTTCATTAACAAGTTAAAATTTTAAATTACTGTTGGGGCACCTGGGTGGCTTAGGTGGTTAAGCGTCCGACTTCGGCTCAGGTCACAATCTCCCGGTTTGTGACTTCGAGGCCCACCTTGGGGCTCTCTGCTGTCAGCATGGAGCTTGCCTCAGATCCTCTGTCTCCCTCTCTCACTGGCCCTCCCCCTCCTTCCCTTCCTCTCTCTCCCTCTCTCAAAAATAAACATATAAAAAATAAAAAATTAAGTAAAAATTTCAAAAGTATCTAAAACCACAGTCGTACCACATTTAAGGGTACCTAGACACCTAGACACATTCTTTTCTGATATGAGCCTCTGGGGATAATTAAGTCACAGTGTGATTAGGCTGTGACAGAGGCAAACGGGAATACTTATGGACAATGGAGAAAAGAATGTGTGACCCTCTCCTCCACAGGTTTTCCTGTTTGCCTCTGTTAGAGGCATGGGTTTGAGCCCCATGCCTCTGATAGGGTCTGAAGAAGAACTTGAATAAAAGTGGGTGTTCAAAAACCCAACAAGGAAGGCACAGTCACGCTGACAGATGGACAGTAATGGAATACAGAGAATGAATACAGTAATGAACCAGAGAAGTGGGAGAGCCCAGCCTGGTCAGGGTAAGTGGATAGCATCTGGGGAATAGGAATGAGGGCGTGAGCTGTTAACTGATGGGCAACACCGAGCCTGGACTTTTGAGCACCAAGACCAGAGTCAAAGGCACCAGCCAGAGAGATGCTATAATGTCTTTAAAAGCCTACATTGACTGAACTAGAGCGGTCCCAGTGAGAAGAATATTAAGTAATGCGCCAAATATTTTCATAGATCACTTTACACTTTAAAAAATTATTATCAAGTAGATATTTTTAATTGTCTTCATTTTACAGGTGAAAAATGTTAAGACATTTGCCCAAGTTCACACAACTATACGTAGCAAAGGTAGATCTCAAGGTGAAGTCTGTCTGATACCACATCTTGTGAAATAAACACAGAGGAAATCATCTGTGAGAGGGAAGA